GAAACCAACAAACGAGTGTTGATTTGTAAGGATTGGACTTGTTTTTCGAGTTGAATTATGGACTGATATCAGCTACAGAACCATTGAAAATCCACAAGGAGTACTAGACAGCTGTTTCATCCTAGTCTAGGACTGATCAACAGTACGCACCCACTGGCTTTCGAATCCAGGACCTTCCGGTTATAAGGCAGGCTTTTAGACCATGCAGCCATTGGGGGCCGACTCAATCGCCAGCGCATGAATTCTAACTTCTACCAGTTAGTGATTTTTAGCGCGACTACTAACCAGTGTCATAGGTGGTGGAAACTCAAACCTCATTTCTACCTAGATGAACCTCACTGGTCACGACTTCTCACTAGGACTCTAGGAAACTCTATCCTGTAGCTAGTCACTAGCTAAAAATCACGAATAGGTAGAAGTTAAAATTCATGGGCTGGCCACTGAGTCGCTTCCCACTGGTTGGGTGGTCTGAGGGATTTCCTTGTAACTAGAAAGTCCCGGACAGCAACCCTAGTGGTGAGTGAGTACTGATGATGAGTCACAAAATGAGACGAAACAATTGAGTGTCCAGTACTCCTTGGTTGGTTTCCATTGGTTCTTTAACTGATATCAATCCATGATCAAACTTGAAACAATTCAAATCCCTACAACATCACCCTTCCTGACTATCCCAAATGTGTAGTGGTTGAAGGCATATATGACGTCAAACTATTTAATTCGTAATCTTAAAAATTATTGTACATGATAACTAATGTGATAACAAAACGTCCACTGTTATCAATTTCACCATTTTACACCCTACTGCACCATCCAGTAGATTATTGTGGTGATTGACAATTTCTATCTTTGTATTGTTTAAATACTTACTGTTGTTTGTTAATATATTTATTATATGATTTGAAATATAATTCCGCCAAATACAAATTCCTAAATTCATCCCTCTCAGTGTTTTGGTTGAATTCCTGTAATTCGGTCATTGCGAAATACAATACTACTATCACAAATAATAATAACGTTTTGGAGTCGCAATGGAATTAAATAATCTTGGAAAGTTTCCTATAAATGGTTCACCACGGGAAATCTCCGATTATCTTGAATGTTTCGACGCATGGTGCATGTCGAAGAATGTTCGTGATGACAAAATTCCAGCTCATTTTATTACTGCTATTGGGCTAGATGCGTACAGCCTACTGAAAACTCTGTCATTTCCAGATAAACCAATTTCTCTGTCTTATGATAAACTCCGCGAACTTTTAACAAATCACTTCCACATAACAACTTTCGAAACACGAGAGAGGGCTCAGTTCAACAAACTTGTTCGTGCACCAAACCAGAAGATTAGAGACTTTATTCTTCAACTGCAGATACAAGCTTCAAAGTGCAACTTTGGAGATCAGCTCCATACTCAACTACGTGATCGTCTAATTGCTGGAATCAATATTCCTAAGTTAGAGAAAGAGTTGGTTCAGATACCTTCCTGCACCTTCCAAACTGCCAAGGATTTATGTATTACGTATGAAGATGTCAACAGTGACTACCCAGCTACCACTACATCAGGGTCTGATGTCATGCTGTCCAAAGTTGATAATAAAAGTGTTCATAGAAAGAAATCCAAACTGCCGTCCACATGTAATAGAATGCAGACAGAAAGTAAGAACATCAAACCGTGTTTTTCATGTGGAAAGCTTCATCTACGAAGCACTTGTCGTTTTCGGAGTGCTAAGTGCCATAAATGTGGTAAAATTGGGCACATCAAGTCTATTTGCAGAAGTTCAAATACTTACGCTACTCATGATTCTCCCAAACTGTCTGATAAAATGAAGTCAATGTCTCTATCAACTTTTCACAATAATCAATCTCATCTAGTGAGAACCTTCACTACAAGTTCAGGCAAGTCTCACTGTTTTATAATTGATACTGGGAGTACTGAATCTATAATTTCTAAGAAAGATTTACTATCGCTTTGTAAGCATGCTCAGGTAGACCCTACTACTAGTTCAATTACAGGCATAACTGGTCGTAAACTACCTCTTATTGGTGCAACTAACATTTGTTTGAAGTCAGACAGTGGTAATTTTGTGAATATCCCCTTTCTTGTTAGTGAATATGGTCCATCTTTATTGGGATTGAAAGCCGTTAGATTGTTAAATGTTGAAATCTCACTTTGTACTGAGTTGTTTGATGAATCTTTGTTCAGAGAATTAGTTTTCCAATGTTCAAAGTGTGTAGGTGGCATGAAGAGAAGGTGATCCTATCTTCCTAAAGCGCCGATTAATTCCATATGGTTTGCGAGATGCAGTTAAGAAAGAGTTGGACAAGTTTGTTGAGCAGGGCATGCTTATGCCAGTTGAATCTTCGAATTGGGCTACTCCCATTGTCACACCACTAAAGGCTGACGGAAAAACACCGAGAATTTGTGGTGACTATCGCCTTACACTCAATAGTCGTCGTCTACAGCAAAGTTGCACTACGCTAGAAAGCGAAGATATTCTCTACAAGCTACATGGCTAAAAATACTTTTCCAAAATAGATCTAAAAGATGCTTATTTGCAAATTCCTCTTGACGAAGCTTCTAGTGCATTAACAACCATTAATACTCCATTTGGATTGTTCAAGTATAAGTTCTTGCCTTTTGGTTTAAAGGTTTCTCCTGCAATATTTCAAAAAGTAATAAATCAGATGATAGATGGATTAGATGATGGTGTTGAGTCTTACCAAGACGACATTATAGTTCTTGGTCCGAACATCAAATTGCATAATGAACGTCTTTTAAAACTGTTCAGGCGTTTCTGTGAGAAAAATGTTCTTGTTAATCCATCTAAATGTCATTTTACTTTGTCGTCTGTATCATGCTTGGGATACATAGTAGACTCTGAGGGTTTCAGACCTGATGCTAGTCGTTTGGCACCTCTAATTCAAGCACCGTCACCTAATAATATGACGTCGTTGAGATCATGGATTGGCACTCTTCAGTTTTACTCCAGATTCATTCCCAATTTCACTCAACTGTTATCTCCACTTTTTAATATTGTCTCCAGTAAACAATTTAAGTGGGAACAACAACATGAAGATATCTTGCGAAAAACTTTGGAGTTTCTTAATAAAGAAGCTTTCTTAAGACCTTTTCATCGAAAGATAAGTCCGTTCTCACTACAGATGCTTCTCCTACGGGCATAGCTGCAATACTTGAGCAAAATAGACAACCTGTTATTTGTATTTCAAGACGTCTAAGTAAGAGTGAACAAGAGTACTCACAAACCCAGAAAGAGGCTCTAGCAGTTGTTTGGGCAATAAGATGCTTGCACAAGTATCTCTTTGGTACTAAGTTTCACATAGTTACTGATCATCAGGCTTTGAAATTCATTTACAACCCAGAAAAATCTTTGAATAGATCATCTGCTGCTATGGTTCAAAGATGGAGTTTAGAACTAAGTGCATATGATTACACTATTGAACACAGATAGGCTAAGGATATACCTCATGCAGACTTCTTATCTCGTTATTCATTATTTGAAAATTCTGCTAATGACACTGATTGTTTGTTAGTCCAACCGTTACCTGTGGATAGAGTTCGACTTATAAACGATACTCGGAAATATTACGGGTGCATTATAAATGCAACAAAAAGAGGTTGGAATATTCAGTGTAAGCGTAGATTTCCGGACTTTTATAAGCGAAGAGATGAGATTTCACCCCGTCCTGAAGGATTTCTATGTCTGAATGACAGAATTATTATTCCTCCGACATTAAGATCTGCGATTTTGGATGAAGTTCATTCTGCGCATCTGGGAGCTGATAAGATGAAATCATTAGCACGTCTAACATGTTGGTGGCCGGAAATTGATGCTGACATTAACAAAAGATCGAAGAGCTGTTCCAGCTGTTTGCATAAAATGTCCTATGGGAAGTCGTCGTGGAAATTGTGGCCTACGTCTTGTGAGGTTTGGCAGCGTATTCATGCAGATTACTGTGGTCCATTCTTAAATTCATACTATGCTTTAATTATTGTGGATTCTTATTCTAGATGGCCAGAAGTTATAATTACAGATAGTCCTAATGCAAAATTCACTCACAGAGCGTTGAGAAAGATTTTTAGTCGAGAAGGAATTCCAGATGTCTTAGTTACTGATAATGGTACTCATTTCACTGGGAAGAACTTCAATGATTGGCTTAAACACATAGGTTGCCGTCATCTGTACACAGCACCACGTCATCCTCAGTCAAACGGTTTGGCAGAAAATTTTGTACGAACATTAAAGAGTGCCATAGCATCAATGAGTCCTAAGAATTTTGATGAGCTAGAGAGATGTGTAGATAACTTCCTACTTCAATATCGCAATGCGGAGCGTACAAGTACCCATGAAAGTCCTGCTAAACTGTTCAAATCTCGAATTCTCAGAAAGCACCTAATGTCTACGACTTCTGATGTACATTATTACAGAGGGAATGACTATAGACCTTCTGTTGGAATCATACTACAAAAAATGGGAAATCGAATGGTGAAAATATTAGACATCGAAGATCATTCAATTCATAACAGACATCTGGATCAAGTGAGAATAAACGAAGTAGGTCGTTCCGATTATAATTTTAATGATTCCGCTACTAATCCTGATATTGCAGATAATTCAGAAATAAGTCCAGATGATACTGATGAAAATAATATCACAGAATCAGTTAGAAGATCCCAGAGACTTGCGAGCAAACCGAGACCTCATTATAAATACGCAAGGAGACATTCGACATGTGGCGGATGTGGTGATTGACAATTTCTATCTTTGTATTGTTTAAATACTTACTGTTGTTTGTTAATATATTTATTATATGATTTGAAATATAATTCCGCCAAATACAAATTCCTAAATTCATCCCTATCAGTGTTTTGGTTGAGTTCCTGTAATTCGGTCATTGCGAAATACAATACTACTATCACAAATAATAATAACAATTATGCAAAAACCATTTGAATTATCAAAAAAAAGAAGATCCCCGATACTTACCGAAAGTAGTGCTGTATTGTTCTGTGGACAGCTGGTATTTGATGTATTTGATCGTTCCTCTTTCAACAGACTTCGTTTACAAAAATTTTCCACTTGTTTAGCCTTGAAATATTCATCAAAATATTTACTGTTCTGATCGATTACAACTGGTGTAAGCCTTAAATAATCAGGTACCAATCTGGATGTGTAACTGTAACATTCAAAAGTGCATTTGCTTTCATCACCGGCTGTTAACACCTTCTCTGCATCAGTATCATCCTGATTAGATGGTGTATCATCACCGTCAACAACTTTTGACTCTGTCATCACATAAAATGGTGTAGTGGATCTATTTAAAACTTGAAAATATTTTGAAAAGAATAAGATAAACACTTTCTTTACATCAAAATAATTTAATAATACATCAATTATTAGTTGATTTACTGGTTGAAATATATTTCAAATTGACTCGGAACATTCAAGTATTGGTTGGTAGGGATATGATTGATTGGTTACAGGATTTCATCATGAGCTGACATCGGTTAGAGAACTATTGGAAAACCTGCAGGGAGTACTGGACAGCTAGCTGTTTCGTCAGCCTAGTTTGAGACTCTTCGGTAGTACGCGCCCACCCCCAGGACCCTCTGGTTACAAGGCGAGCTAGCTCGTAGACCATTTAGCCGATCCAATGCACAGAGCATTAATTCCAACTTCTACCAATTCACGACATAATGCGACCACTTCGCAGTGTCTTCGGTGAGTATTTTTCGTCACACCCAACCTGACTCAGAAAACGTTTGCACCATACTTTTGGAGATGCAGGTAAGTAGATAACACGTTCACCATACTTACAACACAGGAAAAATATATAGACTTTTCCAATACATCAACTCGAATGTGGAGGCAATTCAATCCACTTATGAATTAGAAAGTCAGGAAGGGGAGCTCCCAATGTTAGGTTGCAACGTTAAAAGATAAGAAGTGTGTTTACTGGAAACCCACACATTCAAACCGATATTTGGATTGCCGATCATCTCATCCTATGTCAGTAAAAATAGGATTGCTGAAATGTTTAAATAATAGGGAACAAAAACTAAGTAGTACCAAGGAAAATCTAAGACAGGAATTGAGGCATATAAGAGAAGCCTTGAAACTGAATAATTACCCTGATAAATTAGTCAGCAAATATGTAGGGAAATGTAATAATAATAATAATATTAATAATAATTTGCTTTATTCCAAAACAGTACTTGTGATACAGAATGGAATTCTAAGCATTTTTACTACAGTATTGCATCCAGTTAGTACATTATCAATAAATAGAATTCTACATAGATTAAGGAAACCACAGTTCATTATTACAACAACACATTGGCATGTCGGTAGCAAAGGTAAAGCTGAAACAGTGTTTGAAGGTGTTAGAAAAGTGGGAGCTGTCTTATTATCTGGCGTAAGCGAGAGAAAGAAACAAAGCAGCACAAAACGGAAAGAGAAGAGAGAGAAAAGGAAAAGAAAGAAAGAAAATGTTGTACCTATTGATGATGTGAGTTGGAAAGACGAGATCCAGTTGTACTACTGACTATTTAATGAATTGTAGGTGTCACGCCTAATGCTTTCTTTATCGCACAGAACACGAGCTAAGTAGGGTATGGTTGAGTTTTTGTACTTGCTGGAGCGAGCATATAGTTTTCTATATAGGCTTCTGGTCCTGCCTGATGAGATACAAGGGGAGAGTTGTGAATGAAGAGGGTGGTGTGAGTTAGATAAAATGGATTTGGCCCATTTTTCACATGAGTCCAAGTGCCTTTCGACCAGAATATTAACAAGCTGGTTAATTGGCACGTTGCTTACCCTGCTGACAACCTTTAACATCCTGTGTAATATGTTATAGTCTTTCTTCAGTAGCCGTGGAAAAACTAAGGGGGAACAATAGAGAATAATAGGCAGGATGCGAGAATTAACGAATTGTAGGAGCAAGGGTTGGGTTATACCAGAATGTTTTAACTTCTTAATGTAGAAGGTAAGACGGAATATTTTCTTAGAAATTGCTAAGATATGAGACAACCAGGAGAGATCAGCAGATAGAATGACACCTAGGTATTTAATTTCCGATTTGGTTTCTATTCCAGTGCCGTCTATGTAAAAATAAAATAAATAATACTAGTAGTGATAGTGGTGATAAGAATAATATTAATGATGACATGCATGTCAAACATGCACAGGATGATGACAACATCAACAATACGGAATATAAATCATAAGTAGTGCCTCCATAAAAAGAAGGAACCTTGGAAACCTTACGTAGAATTCTTATCAATGCAGGAAGGAATAAAAGTGGCTGGCATTCAGTCACCCACAGATTCAATGAAAAAAACAAGCCTAGTGAGTTGAAGAGCCAATCCTGTGGAGCCAATTACACAAAAACAATTTAGTTTATCTAATACCCTGCTGGTGTAATTGTCAGGCGAGACACATAGGTAAAAGTAGTAGGACGGGATCAGTCAGACCAGCGAAGCATAAAAACCTAGCAGCAAAATCTAGATTGGTTGACCCAACACTAAGATTGGAAATCTGGAGAATAGAGTTCAGCTATAGTACTACACATGCAATTATACACAATCAACCATACAATAGGATGGGAAGAGATGACACTGGGGAAGGAGATATTGATATCGGAAGCTTTGTTTGTAGAATCAACTGCAGACACACACAATAGAAATGATTCAAAGCTTCTTCCGGAAATTTTAGAATTTCTACTACCCGTATAATAAACAGGAGAGAATAAAAAAGAAAACTATTAAACAGAAGTTTCGAAGTTGTGTGATTATAATTGATACTACGGTTATGAACGATAAATAAATTGTGTTCGAAACTAAGTCATCAAGTAAATAATAATAATACTGTTTCATTATAAATTATTTAAATTAATCTCAGCGTGTTAAGAAAATCAAAACAAGATTTTTCTGAACGTTTCTCTGTGTAAGCCACAGCTTCTTCAGCAGATTTATTCGGATTTTTATTAATCATCAAAATATATAGTCAAAAATTTTAACATACATTAAAGTCAGTTTATATGAAGGTCATTTGTCTATGGACATTTTTACCAATAGAAAATATGTAAGCAGTCATCACATATATTTGTAATGACTGATGTCAAGTTGTTGTTGTGTTCACTCTTGTATAGTTCATTTGTATAGATTAGTTTTGTATGAGTGTGTGTGTGTATGTATGTTTTTGTCATATGGAAAATAAGTGAATTCATATATGATAAAGATGATCCTATATGTTTTAAAAGGTCATGGAGGCTCATAGAGTGCTGATTGATTTTTTCATTTGTCTTGCTTCATAAGAGTTTGCCATGTAAGTGATAAGTCTATCCCATTTTTCCTATTCACTGCATTCGATGTGCAAGACTTTATGTGAATGAAATCCTCTTCCAAGAATTTGGACATCGTCGAAATCAATCTTATGTCCGCTGTCTATCGCATGCATTGCTATAGCCGATCTTTTTTCTAGACTTTTCATTCTACTTCATTTCTAGGTGGACGTTTCGTGCTTAGTCTATGTTCATTCACTCTGACTTTCACCTGCCTACTGCTCTCTCCTATATAGCATGCATTACATTCGGAACACTCTATCTTGTAGACACAATTACTTTGTGACATTCTGCGAACTATATCTTTGACATGTACCAACGCCTTCTCTAGAGAATTAGAAGGTTTGACATAGACTTTAATATTATATGAGGCAAATAATCTTTGAAGTTGTTCAGCTGTGTCCTTTCGGTATGGGATGGCTATCGACGATAGCCAGGGTTTTTCAACTTTTTGTTTTCCCTTATGCTCCTTACTATTGATAATATTATCAAGTAGCTTTTCAGGATAACCGTTTCCAATACAAGAGTGAACACAACAACAACTTGACATTAGTCATTACAAATACATGTGATGACTGCTTACATATTTTCTATTGGTAAAAATGTCCATAGACAAATGACCTCCAAATAAACTGACTCTAATGTATGTACAACCTTTTGACTATATATTTTGATGATTAATGAAAATCCGAATAAATCTGCTGAAGAAGCTGTAGCTTACACAGCGAAACGTTCAGAAAAATCTTGTTTTGATTTTCTTAACACGCTGGGATTAATTTAAATAATTTATAATGAATCAATCTGACTCGTCGCTCAAATTATTTCGGGAAGTTCGTAACACCTACGGGCTGGAAACCTATAATAATACTGTTTCCCTGACTGATATATGTCTAATTAATAAATTAATATGGCTGGCGCGCGAGGTCATTCAGTGACCATCTCCGCAACATATGTGATCATATATATACCCTGTAATATTTATTGCTTTCTGTTTTGTTTTTGCTGTTTTCGAGTAAATTAGATGGGATATTGTATCAAAAGCTCAGGATTCCACACTGTATCACATAAGTACTTTTTTGGAATAAAGCAAATAATAATAATAATTTTTTATTGCTTTACGTTCCCAGTGGAACATAGAGCTACTTCAAGCTAGAGGCTTGAAGTTTCAGTAACAGTAGTGTTTTTATTTTTACGACAACAATCAGCATAAATGGGAGGAACCTGAAAGAAACAGCCTCTTTTACCTACCTGGGAAGCATCGTTTCAACCACAGGCGGAACTGACGAGGATATCAAAGCAAGACAAGCTTTCATTACTCTCAAGTCTGTGTGGAGGTCAACAGCATTCAGCGTCAAAAATAAGATCCGGGGTTTCAACTCCAATGTGAAGTCAGTGCTACTATACGGATCAGAGACTTGCACTGCGCGTCAAAAAAAGAAACTCAAACAAACTGCAGACCTTCATTAACAGATGTCTTCGCTCAATACTCAAGATCAGATGGCCGGAAAGGATCAGTAACAAAGATCTCTGGGAGCGAACCAACCAGGAACCGATTGTGAAACAAATATGCAGGAAGAAATGGAGATGGATTGGTTGGCCATACTCTGAGGAAACCATCAAGTGACATCACTAGACAAGTCATTGCTCGAGTGGAACCTGAAAGGGAAGCGGCGAGTTGGTCATCAGTATGAGAGTGACTTGGAGGAGGTCATGTGAAGAGGAGATGAAAACTTGTGGGCAGACATAGAGCCAGGTGAAGACTCTAGCAGAGAACCGAACGCAATGGAGACGCACGGCTGAAGCCCTATGTTCCTCTAGGAATTAAAGGATACAATAATAATAATAATAATGCCCAGCTTTCCCTCTTCACCAGTTTTATTACTGGCTTAGCGAGGTAAAGAAGTGCGTCGGCTGGTGATCGCACCCCTAAACACATGAAGCGTGGTTGGCGAGCATTTTACCGCTGTGTCCCGCCGTGAAAATAATAACAATTATTAACACTAACTATCCCATAACTCATTATCCACTAGACCACTTGGGCCACTGTGCGTCGGTGGCATAGCGGTTAGGATACTTGCCGACCATGCACATGGTCCGGAGTTCGATCGCTGGCCGACGCACTCCTTCACCTCGCTAAGCCAGAAATAATGCTGGGGAAGAGGAAAGGTTGGGCGTGAGGCTACCAACCCCATCCTGTAAAATAAACACCGTAACAGAAAATTCAAGCCACTAGCTTGAAGCCCTATGTTCCACTGGGGAACGTGAAGGAAAAAAAAAATCCCAGAACGCAGTTATAAACTTACGATGTGTAATTTTGCCTAAAATCTGTTTAATACAAAGACAATATACGATGAATTCAATGATGTTTATAACAGCAGACAATGGTACAGGCAGAATCGGTCGATTACTGTATTCCAACACCATAGATAATATATTAAATTTCCATAATTCAATTGAATTCTCCTCGATTTTTTCAAATACATTACTGAATTTTTGGAATAATAAAAAAGCACAAAGAAAGTAATTAGCAATAATAATAATAATAGGCTTTACTTTATTCCAAACAATAACAATGATAAATCACGAAGAGTGAATGCATCTGCGCCAGCCATTGAGAACGATGACTTTGATCCATATAACCAGTTGTCTCAAGCCACGAGGACCCCGACCAGGAAGCCAGTCTATACCTCCCTACGTGGCTGGCTGACTTAAGCCAACTGTTGTGGATTTCATGGACTGATGAAGCCATGTTTTAGTTTAACTACCACTGTACCGACAGAAGACAAGGGCCAGCCAACAGATCGTTTATCGAGAAAATCAAGAGATATTTACAAATTTTTATGTACATTATTATTTGTTATTGTTAGCGGAGAAGCAACGTCTTCTGATTGGTTGTTTTCTTGCTGAAGGTTATTCTGTAATGCTTGTGACCGTTTCTTAGAAAGTTAAGCCATATATCTGCGAATCGTATTTGCACACGTTAAGTCTGCTGTGACTGGTTGGTGAGTTCCTCATGGTTAAGCTGATTCGGGACGTCAACATTGACGTAAATTGCTGTCTACAAATTTGGCTTGCAGACAGCTTTCACCACACCACTAGATCTTTTCCAACCCAATCCTATGTCAGCTAATATTTCCCGTAACGCATATCTTAGGCATCTCAATCGATGTAGCTTCGTAGCTTCATTGAATAATTCCCCCCCCCCCCTTACTGGGCGCCTAATCTCAGCATTAGTCACTCTAATATATCACCTAAAATGGGAGATAGAACAGAGACACCAATGGTCAACAACAGCTAGACAGCCTTTTCATGTCTTTCCCTTTCATACACTTAAAAATAAGGCATGTAAACCTTTTTTCTCATTAACGTGCTAAAATGAAGGGATTTGATTACTGATTGTGGGAAAATCGAATAAGATTTATAGAGAACCCTCTGGATGTCGGTGAGATATGTATACTCAAGAGGCTCCTAGTTAAAATACTTTTACTTCAAAGCTAGAGAATTTTTTCGTGAATATGAGTAAAATCCTGAGCAGCACTCCTTTCAAAATTGGTGGGTAGTTTGTCCATTGAAAACGTGTGAGAAATGGGTAAGAAAAGGGTAATTAACTTTTTGAGAAGACGGGGAAACAAGTGGGTGACGACGTGGGGAAAATTGGAAAAAGTGGTTATTTTGTGTTGTACTTTATCCACCTTTTACCTCCATCTCATCCAAACAAAACTGCCCATTTTCCATACGATTTGCCCAGTTTGCTCAAGTGAACGCTCAGATTGGGTTGCACTTTATGCCATAATTGATCAAATTAATAAAAGAAAGCTAATCAACACTAGAATTTCGGAGTATGAAAGCAGTGAAATGCTGTCAGACATCCAAATTAATCCACGTAATACAATAAAACAAAGAGAAGCCCGTGTTTTTATTTTTTGTTTACCTGAAGATTGCAATAAGTAAATTCATCAATAGGATTGCAGCAATCATTAAATACACAGCTAAAAATAATGGACTTAAAAAATTGAATGTTGGACATTCTTCGGTGTTTACAGAACCGCTGGAACAGCCTTCTTTTTCAGCTGGAAAAACAAACAAAAACATGATAAAATTGTTTAAAAGAAACAACACTATGTGATATGAAGAGGGAACATTAAAAGGGATAGTAAATCATCGACGGAGGGAAAGAAGTAATACACTGATAAAGTGTTTGTCTTTTTGTTGTCTACTAATAGTAGTATTAGTAGTAGCAGTAGCACTGTGCCAACAATTATACATCTCATCCGACAGTTACTTGTACGACAATGCTGCATGGCAAGTAATCCACAACGGGAAACTCACGGAATCCTTCGCGAAGAAGTGAAGACGGGAGTAAGACAAGCTGGCTGCCCACTACTGACTCCAATGATTTTACTGATTGCAGTAGATTGGATAATGCGACAGACAGCGGTGGGCAGCGAGGAAACAGGCATAAAATGGACCCACACAAAATACTTGTAGGATCTGAACTTCACCGATGATATATGTCTGATTTCCCACAAACTGAAAGATATGCAAGTGAAAAACAAAAAGTTGGCAGAAGAAGCATCAAAGATAGGAAGGAGTTCAGGTGAACATAGAGAAAACAAAGGTAGGTGATGAAGATTCCTGGCCAACAGCAACAGCAACAACGACAGACAACGATCAGCCAGCATAAATGGGAGAAATCTGAAAGAAGCAACCTCCTCTACCTACCTACTCACGTGGGAAGCATCGTTTCAACTACAGGCGGAACTGACGAGGATATCAAAGCAAGAATCGGGAAAGGAAGGCAAGCTCTCATTACTCTCAAGTCTGTGTGGAGGTCAACAGCATTCAGCCTAAAAACTAAGATCCGAATTTTCAACTCCAATGTGATGTCAGTGCTACTATACGGATCAGAGACTTAGTGCGTCATGAAGAGCACTTCAAATGAATTACAGACCTTTATTAACAGTTGTCTTCGCTCAATACTCAAGATCAGATGGCCAGAAAAGATCAGCAATAGGGACCTGTGGGAGAAAACCAACCAGGAACCGATTGTTCAACAAGTAGGCAGGAAGAAATGGATATGGATTGGCCATACTCTGAGGAAACCATCAAGTGACATCACTAGACAAGCCATCACTCGAGTGGAACTCGAACGGGAAGCGGCGAGTTGGTCGTCAGTGCAAGGGTGACATGGGGGAGGTCATGTGAATAGGAGATGAAAGCATGTGGGCAGACGTGGAGTCAGATGAAAACGTTGGCAGAGAACTGAACGAAATGGAGACGTGCGGCTAAGGCCCTATGTTCCTCTAGGAACTAAAGATGACAATAATAATAATAGTGCGGTATGTGCTACTGACAAGAATAATCAGTAGTATATAGACTCAAAATGATAAAAAGTAGCTAAAATTGACAGCCACATTTTAAGTCAGTCGTTACATAAGTAGAAGCGTTTACTTCTCAAACATAGACCTAGTTTACATTGTGGTCAGAAAATAATTTCAAGCTTCAACCTTCAGTAACCAATCAGAACTGGAAGTTTGTGGAGTGTACACCAAATGATAAGTAAATTCATATAGAAAATTACACTTTTGTCTCATCTAGACGACAAATCCTGGCCAACTATCGTTTCTGAAGATTACTTTGAATACAGATAACCCAAATACTCTATAAGAAACATGAACGCATCTTCTGACATCCCTTAAATTCTTCATTATAACCTCAACACTAAGAGGATGATCAAAGAAAGGCTTTTGTAGATAAATTCACATATTCTAACCATACAGACCGAGTTTTATGCAATCATGCCGTTAGTATAATATGGATAGAATTCATTGAAGCACCTAAAGCACCTTAGAATATTTTGTAAGGATTGAATTCCTGATTTTTGGAGTGCATGCTAATTCTTAAAAGAAGGTGAAGTGTGTCGTTAGAAATTCACTGAAACTATAACTTTGCTGGATGATGCTTATGCATTTGAAGTGATAAATTTTCAGTGGGAAAACTATCTCACTCATTGATAGGTAAGAAAAAAGACAGCAACTGACTGGTCTCTCAAACAGGATGAATTGTACGGCGCAGATTCCACCTCTAGTCCAATAGCAATCAAATAATATTTTTCCAAAAACAGATCTACTACTGATATAAGAATAAAACTTGGGCACTGTGGTAGAGTGTAATTCCACTATGGGTAAATTTTTATTTTGATAGAGTCTCACAGTGTTATACAGTATAACACTGTGAGACTCTATCAAAATAAAAATTTACCCATAACAGATCTACTACTATTACTTTGTTAGTAGCTAAACTCTTTAAACTTAAAAATAAAGTCTGTTGTACAATACAATATACTACTGATTGATTGAGATGATGAGTAGTTGTATATCATTCATATCAGATGGTCAAACCGGGGTTATCTAAACACCTCACAGGCGCTTCACTTGTTTGGGGATGACTACATCAGCCCAGAAAGTCGAATCAGTTGGAATCACATTGATTTCTGGCTAGCTATTCGGGGCGCACTGGAATTCCATCAATTAAATTCCCAATTCGCGAATGAAATAGCAATTTACACAGTTCAAGGAGGTAGAACACTTTACCAGAGTTTCATGTTTAAATCTATTTCGAAAGAAGTCAAGGCGAAAGTCATGATATAGGTCACACGGAATGACCGTAAGTATTCCAATAGATGGAATTTTAGGCTTCTTCATTCCTCACTTGTCTAACCTTCACGGGGGGGGGGGCAACTTTTTACTGCAAATACCACAGAGCTTTTTAAATTTTTTTTATCAAGACAGTTGGACTTTTTATGGTTTTTAAGTGCCAGTTGATTGGAAAGCTGCACAAATTTAAGGGTGATTATACATACTAAAACCGATTTGAATTTATTATTATTATTTCTTTTAATTCCTAGAGGAACATAGGGCTTCAGCTGCACGTCTCCATTGCGTTCGGTTCTCTGCTAGAGTTTTCCCCTGGCTCCACGTCTGCCCACATGCTTTCATCTCATGTTCACATGACCTCCTCCAAGTCACCCTTGGACGACCAACTCGCCGCTTCCCTTTCGGGTTCCACTCGAGCAATGGCTTGTCTAGTGATGTCACTTGATGCTTTTGTTTTGATAAAGTCTCACAGTGTTATACAGTAATGTTTACTGATGACGTTTCGAGCACAATTTATTGCTCATAATCATATCAAGGTAATCACACGACTTCCTAAATTCCTTTATACAGTTCCATTGTTTTTCACTTGATTTGATTAGTAGTAATATTTTCTATATTTCGGATATGAGTGATGATTCATTGCTATTGCATGTGTTGGGTGTAGATTCGATGAACAAAAATAGCTCAGCAATTGCAATGCATGCATTAGCACACAACCACATAATAGGGTGGGAGAGGGTTAAAATTCTAAAAAGTAATCTAGGTAGGTGGAGAGAGAGGCTGATTACTGTTAATGAATCCTTGTTCATCGAATCTACACCCAATACATGCAATAGGAATGATTCATCACTCATACCCGAAATATGGAAAATAATACTACCAATCAAATCAAGTGAAAATCAAGTGAAAAACAATGGAACTATATAAATGAATTTAGGAAGTCGTGTGATTACCTTGATATGATTATGAGCAGCAATAAATTGTGCTCGAAACGTCATCAGTAAATATTACTGTATAACACCACTGTGAGACTTTATCAAAACAAAATTTACCCATAATGGAATTACACTCTACCACAGTGCACAAGTTATATTCTTATATCAATGATGTCACTTGATGGTTTCCTTAGAGTATGGCCAATACACCTCCGTTTCTTCCTGCCTACTTGTTTCACAATCGGTACGTGCTCTTGATGACGCGCCAAGTCTCTGATTCGTATGTAGCACTGACTTCATATTGGAGTTGGAAATCCGGATCTTATTTTTGATGCTGAGTGCTGCTGACCTCCACACAGACTTGAGAGTGATAAAACCTTACCTTGCTTTCCCGATCCTCGATTTGATATCCTCGTCAGTTCCGCCTGTATTTGAAACGATGCGTCCGAGGTAGGTAGGTAGGTAGGTAGGTAGGTAGGTAGGTAGGTAGGTAGGTAGGTAGGTAGGTAGGTAGGTAGGTAGGTAGGTAGGTAGGTAGGTAGAGGAGGTTGCTTCTTTCAGATTTCTGCCATTTATGCTGGCTGATTGTTGTCTGTCGTTGTTGCTGTTGCTGTTGGCCAGGAATCTTCATCACCTACCTTCGTTTTCTCTATGTTCACCTGAACTCCTTCCTATCTTTGATGCTTATTCTGCCAACTTGTTGGTTTTCACTTGCATATCTTCTTGTTTGTGGGGAATCAGACATATATCATCGGTGAAGTTCAGATCCTAAAAGTATTTTGTGTGGGTCCATTTTATGCCTGTTTCCTCGCTGCTCACCGCTGTCTGTCGCATTATCCAGTCTACCGCAATCAGTAAAATCATTGGAATCAGTAGTGGGCAGCCAGCTTGTCTTACTCCTGTCTTCACTTCTTCGCGAAGGATTCCGTGAGTTTCCCGTTGTGGATTACTTGGCACACAGCATTGTCGTACAGCTGTTAGATGAGATGTATAATTGTCGGTGGCACCCCGTAGTAGCGAAGTAGTTGCCAAATCACCTCTCGATCGACGCTGTCGAAGGCCTTTACGAAGTCTGTGAAGTTGCAATAGAGAGGTGACTGCCATTCCAAGCTTTGTTCAATGATGATCCTTAGTTTGGCGGTTTGATCAACAAATGACTTGTTTCTCCTGAATCCAGCTTGTTCCAGTCGAAGTTTTTCATCCAGGGCTTGTTTGAACTTATTAAGCCTTAATTCGATTATCTTTTTTTGTTAGGTAATCGGTTATGTACAGGACTGAGTCTAAAACACGGTTAATTTTATGTTAAATAAGTGTGATAATTTAGAAATTTGACTGCTTCTGTGGAGCTAGCTACATAGGCTGTACAATTAGGCGTGTTTATCGTCGAATTTCTGAACATCATCCTGAGTGGTTAAGTAAAGAATAAAACAAAATCCATTCATAACTCTATTCTATCACATCTCGTGGATACAGAACACAAGAGTGATGTCAACGAGGCGGCTTTCAAAGTCATCAACCACATACCATAGTTGGTATCTCAACGTTACCTGAAGAGTTCGTCTACTACATATTGCTGAGGCTGTTGGGATTTACATTAAGAAATCAAACCTATGTATCCCACATTGTCATTGTCTTCGTCTTCAAGGTTCTAATGATGCTCAACTTTTGTGGAATTTTCCTAATTTTAGTTAATATTCTAGTTGCTATTAAATCTTTTTTTATTATTATAATAATTTAGGCATCTTTAATGAACTGTTATTCCATTGTGATGTTACCTAACAAATCGATATTAATTAAAAACACTAATATTCTTATTGACTACTATTCTAGAATATTCTATGTATATAAATATATAAATGTAATTGTATAGCCAGAAGAGGAAATTATCGAAAAGGATATTCTTTGCTCAATTTTCGTTTTTTATAATTTAGAAAAAATGGTTGAGCAGAAACTGGAGGTATTCTGGGTGTTGGTTGTTTTATTCTGAGAATTTGGCAATCTCCTAACTCATTTTGAAAGATTCAGACCGCACAGACCAACAGAAACTCAGCACAGTGGATGCACTCAGATCAAATGAAACCAAGTAACTTGTTGGCCGTGTTTCGTAGGCATAAAATGAGAGGCGACAGTGTAACGGAAAAAACCTCCTGAACGCCCTAATCATGATATACTAACTAATTATTATCCGTTTTTCTCCTAGACTCTATATCATTGCATCTGGCATTTGCATATTATATGTTGAATTGATCCTTACTATTTGCTTTTGTCCCTCTTTAATCTCCAATTGTAATGCTTATCTTTCTGGTTAAGCGATACATTAAATAATGTGTTGTTTTACGAAACGATTTTGATTGAGTGAGCCAAGGTCATCCCGACCTTGGACTGCCTGAGGCGGGAATTGCTGATGTGTGATTCTTGTGGACAGAGTTTTTATCTCACCTTGTTGGGAACCTATGACTTGCTTTGTTATTAACAACATAATTTTAGGCTCTTTTATTTCTCTCTTATTTTGTATTCTATAGTGAACTCCCTCTCAAACATACTTAGCTACCTAAATTATTAACATTGGCTTCCTTTTTTGTACTTTACTATATTCCTTCTATTGTGTATCCACTGGTTCCGACTCTATTAGCACTATGAGTATTACAAAATTGTTCTGTCATTAACCGTCATGTAATTATTAGTTTTGTGGTTGTTTTTTCTTATTTTCTATACTTTTCGGCAATATTAAACTGACAATCATTGGTTGTGAACGCCATAGTCACCACCTTAAAAAAAAATTTTGTATTATTCACGATTACTCACACTACCACTACAAACACTGCATTAGACCTGACAATAAAAAACAAAACAACAACCTTGAAATGTTATTTTATGATTGTTTAGATGGTTGTTTCAACCAAATTAACTGACCATCTTGGCGATAAACATTCTTAAATATCATTTCATAACTTCTTGTATGACTATAGCTTTACTGTCACCATGCATAACCATGTCATAGCTTCCACTACCCAATACTGAGTTATTATTATATGATGTTTATTTTCCTTTCTACTTCTTGGTACTTTTTCGCATTTATAATTATTTTGTGTTTATCCTGTTTTTTTTGCTGTTGGTGTCTTTAGATTTTTTTTGTTTGTTTAATACTCCTTTTAAATGTTTGTAACATTAGATGCAAATACTGTAGATATGTGCTGAAAATTCCACACTGTACCACTAGTACTGTTTCTGGAATAAAGCAAATTATTATTAATATTCTGCTTAATTCTCAGGTAGGTACCTCTTACGGTTGAATTTTGTCCTAAAGTACTTGTTTTGTATTTAGAAAGTTAACTTTGTCTGCATCGCAGTCTGACGTCACAGTTGAGGCAATTTCGAGTTTTTGCTGTTAATATTGTTGAGTAGAACCACAAGTAGATTTGGGGTGTTTTTTTGATGTCGTTGTGTTCTCTGAGCTGGATAGTTAATTTACGAAGCTTTTATAACCCTACTAGGTGACATCTTCAGCGAATACTTCAATTTGAAGTGAGCTTTTAGATTTCTCCACGAGTTTATTAATCATCTCTCCTGGTGACCTTGGACGTGATTCCTTGGTTGATTTTGTGTGTGAGGTTTCTTTCTTATCGGTTGATAGATTTTGTCAATCTCGATGTGTCTATTGATTGATGATTCACTGGAATGCCAAGCTTCTAAAAAGTCTCTAGCATTTTTGTTGTTTCCTCTGCCTAATATTTGAACATTGTCCTAATCGAATTGATGCCCGTGGTTGTCTGCCTCCAGAAACATTGCTCCCAGGGCAAAGTTTAGCAGTGAACTGTCATTCCGCAAAAAAAAGTCAAACAGAACTCATCTAACACTCAATAAAGCTAGAACAACAGTGGTTTTTGCAGAATAAAATGGTACCATCATTGCTTATTTCGTTGGCTTCGTGTCATCAGCTGCTTACAGGCCAAAGTCATTATTAAACATATCTACAGAAACAATTTTAACATACTTGCACAAAGTTATTTTTTAAACAAAAATCAGTCAGTATATGCATACAGTAATTATATATGTGTAATATTAAACACTATTCCGAACAATAATGATCATACACAATGGAGACTTTCGGCATTACGTAACCACATGAAGGAGAGGTGAAAATATCCAGTTGCCAGAGCAAAGAAAAACCGATAACTGTTTCTTTCTGAACGCAGAAATTAGGTTTCAGGAGCTTGATGGAGATGGCTTCAGAAAACTTAAGGAGAACTGAACTCTTTTGCCTATTGATAACTTTGAACGATCTTGTGACTTCCAACTAATGACCCGTGTCAAGGAGATGCCTGGCGATGGCACCATTAAAAGCATTTGTTCCCTTTAGACATAAGATTTTTGGCAAATGTTCAGAAAGCTATTTGGACAAAAACTATTAAAATGTAAGTATTGCCCTTTCCAAGTAGGCTTTCGATAAATTGACTTTTGAAGACTACCGTCCTCTTCTAGGCGTTCCATGGCAATGTCGAGGAAGTGAAACTTTCCATCACTTTCATGTTCCATAGTAAATTCAATATTGGTATGTGCGTCATTAAATAATCTGAGTAAGTGGGAAGCATGACTTTCATTGTTGCACACTACAAATGTGTCATTGACATATCGACAATAAGAAGTTGTTTCGTCGATTGCATGCTTCAACTTTGTTGTTTCAAGGTTGGACATGAATATATATTTGCTAAAACAGGGTTGATTGGACTGCTCATAGCTACACCATCTATTTGGCGGTACAGAGTGTTGTCAAATTAGAATTGCACATTCATGGTACACATTAGCATTAGGCGTCTGAATACAGACTCTGGTAGTACATATATATATATATATATATAATTATTACTACACGCATATATTGATTGATTTTTGTTTAAAAATGAACTTTGTACAAGTATGTTAAAATTGTTACAGGATTTCATCATGAGCTGACATTGGTTGAAGAACCATTGGAACACCTGGGAGTACTGGACAGCTGTTTCATCCTAGTTTGGGACTCTTCATCAGTACACACTCAGCGGGGTTCGAACCCAGGACCTTCTGGTTACAAGGCGAGCTAGCTCATAGACCATTGAGCCACTGGGACCCGATCCAATGCACAGAGCATGAATTCCAACTTCTGCCAATTCACGATATAGCGCAACCGGTGGGTGCGTACTTCTGAAGAGTCCCAAACTAGGACGAAACAGTTGTCCAGTACTCCCTGCAGTTTTTCCGATGGTTCTCTAACCGATGTCAGCTCATGATGAAATCCTGTAACCAACCAACCGAATCCCTAAAAACCAATACTTGAATATGCTAAAATTGTTTCTGTAGATATGCTTAATAATGACTTTGGCCTGTAAGCAGCTGATGACACGAAGTCAACGAAATAAGCAATGATGGTACCATTTTATTTTGCAAAAACCACTGTTGTTCTTGGCTTTATTCAAATTCATTAAGGGGAATAAATGTATGAAACTCAATAAAGCATCGGATTCACTGTCAAAGAGTTAAATTCAAAGGGCAGAAATATGCTGTTTGTTTGCTATTCAAGAACGGTGAGGACTAAATGATGACTTACTTTACTTTACTTCGGTTATCTCCTACGGGAGGATGAGCCGGCTTCATGAACATCTCGAATCATCACTGCCCAGGCGCGGCGATCTGATGAAGAGAGTTCATGAAGTTTCATGGGAATTTGGTACGAGTGATGTCCCCAGAACCGCTCGGCCTTTTGTTTGAGAGTGCAGCTCTAGCCTTTACACAACCAAGTGTGACCTACAAGGCAGTAGGAGTGGAGTAGGGAGTCCACTATCCATTGGCAGCCGGTGACCGGAGTTCGGTTCATACGCCTTTTGAATGGGGCCAGACACCCAGGACATCCAACAAGCCCTTTGTCCATACGTCTGCCGGTGAGCTCCAGTGAGCTTCATACGCCAGTCGTTGGAGGTTTGGAATCAGGGTTTAGCCATCTCCCCTAGACTGTCATCCAATGGACAGTCAACCCGGTGAAGAGCGCCGGGCATCCGCTTTCGCCCTCTCACTTTGGTGAAAAACACCTCCGCCACGTGAAGGCAGTGAGTAGGACTTCCTCAGGAGAGGCTATGTAAGACGCCCGGTCATATGGGAGCATTTCAAGAGGTGTGCGGAGGGGTGACCAACCCGCAGCGCAAGGCAGCCACCCCTGACCATCCTGAGGCTTTGGGGGGTAATAGTTAACATATAACACGAAAACAAGTTAAACAACAAAACGAAACATAACACTATTTTTAAAGTCAACTTACCAAAAGCATAATCCAGCATTAATTCACCGAATAAATTCCAATAAGGAAAGACGAATACATCACGAACTACTGTCCATGTGAAATGGGAGCGATATGGATAGAGAAGTACTTGCTGTGATACACCATAACCCACAAGTACAATAACCAAAATAAATAAGAACATTAATAGTTCAACAAGCATACTACGTATCATAACCAGTTTCGGACCAAGACGTGGATGATGTGAATATAAACCGTATATTCTCAAATAACAACCAATCACTGAGATGCATATTAAAAAGGGCAGGGAATGAAAAGAAAATGCAATATAAGATAAGAATAGTTTTATTAAGCATGGAGAAAAACAAACAAACAGCACAATTGTTCTTTAATAAGACAGATTACACCAAAGTTGATATATGACCTAGAGTAGAGAATAAATACTATGCCCCCAATGAACTTCTTCTAACTGGGTAGACTGTGAGCACAACTGCAGAGTGATTAGCAGCTAGCCATCAGAGCTATTTGGCGCCCAGTTCCTCTGTAGCTAGTAAAGGTTCATAACGAAATCTAACACGACTGATTTCAACATAGAACTTTGCACAGATGTGCAGCAGTTCGAGTTGCTACACTCCCTCAACGTAGCACACAAAGCAATTCTGTCTGTCTGTTTTCGACATAGAACTTCACACCGATGTGCAGCAGTTCAATTCGCCACACTCCACTCCATGTGGCACACAAAGCAAGAAAAGAAAGTAGAAGAAATGCATAATAGCGACAGTAAACAGAGGTGTGAGACAAAGGAATAGTAATAACGAAGAACAATATAGTTTCATTGGAAATCATAAGTCACAAGGAGTGGATGCATCTGCGCCAGTTATTGAGAACGATGAATTTGAGCCATGTCACCAATTGTTTCCAACCATTGGTTTCTACCTTCCCGAGGACCCCAACCAACTAGGCAGTCTACACCTTCCTACGTGACCGGCTTAGACTAATTGTTGTAGATTTCATTGACTGGTGCCATGTTTTGGTTTGACCGCCACTAGCTCTTTTCCAGCCTGGCCCTATGTCAGCTAACATTGCCCGTCGAGGAAGGCGATGACTAGGCATACGTAACACGTGTCCTAACTATCTCAATCGGTGTAACTTCACAGCCTCGTCGATTGATTTCCCCGCCTTACCTAGCACTCGATGCCTAACTTCAATATTGCTCACCTTATCATACCACTTCACACGGGAGATAGAACGCGGACACCTATGATCGAAGACAGCTAATCTTTTCATGTCTTCTGCTCTCAATGGCCAGGTCTCAATCACAGCCATAAAGGAGGACGGAGCGGACTGATGAGCAGCACACCCGCCCTTTGGTCGATAGTCGGATATCACGTCTACGCCAGAGACGGCGTAAACTGGCATATGCGAAACTAGCCCTCTGTATCCGTAGTGAGATTTCGTCAGAGATCAACCCGTTGGCACTCGCTGACGGTACTTCCCAAGTAAATGAAGCGGTCAAAGTGCTCTACTACTTCGCTTCCTATTTCTAATCTAGGGGTCGGTGAAGTCCAATCCTGCAGCATCATCTTACATTTTACAGGGGCGAAGAGAGTACAGATAGATAGAGAGATTCAAGTGACAGAAAATAAACAGAAATGTGAAGTAAAACGAATAGTAATATGGAAGAGCAATAGAGTTTCATTGGGTATTATAAATCACAAAGAGTGAATGCATCTGCGAATTCTATTGAGAAGGATTTCGAAGCATACCATCAAGTCTCTTCAGCCGACATTGTTTCTTACCATTCCGAGGACACTAACCTTCTTACGGGGCTAGAGAAAAATAACTGTTATGGATTGCATTGACTGATGAAGCCATGTTTTGGTTTCACCACCACTAGCCCTTCTCCAAGCTAATCCTCTGTCAGCTAATATTCCCCGTAATTCATATCCTAGTCATCTCAATCGTCGATTGATTTTTCCTCCTAACCTAGCACTCGATGTCTGGTCTGAACACTTATCACCTAATCATACCACTTAACACGGGAGATATTAACATTGACTACCATTTTGTCTACGGGTTGACTAAATAACTCAATGAGTGAATTTCAACAGAGCACTCTGCACAGATGTGAAGCGATTCAAGTTGTCACACGCTATGCAGCACACACACAAGTGGAGAAATAAACTCAGGAACCAGTAGTAACGTGAAAAAACCCTATTAGAATTCAATACGTATGAGAAATTACAAAGTGTGAATGTATCTGAGACATTAGAGACGGTGCTGAGTCATTCATGTCTGCAACTCTTTTCCAATCCAATCATATATCAGCTAACATTATTCGTCGAGGAAGTCAATGGCTTGGAGTGAGCAGCACATGTACTAACCACCTCAATCTATGTAGCTGCTCTGCTCCATTGACTGACTTTACTTCTTCACCTATCACTCTAAACCTAACAGCAATACGGCTCACCACATTATACTACTTAACACGGTAGAGAGAGTGCAAACAACACGCATAGTAGGAGACAGCCAACCCCTTCAACTCTTCCACTTTTAATAGCCATGTCTCAGAGCGATAAAGAAGGACTAAAAGAAACTGCTGAGCAGTGCAGTGCATACATCCAAAGTTATTTCCTCTGTTCACCTGTTATCTAATACACCGTGACACTTGTCTCAAACTAGACCTCTCATTAACAAAATTTCAGCCATCCCTACCGGCAATACGGATTTTCAGTTATTTGAAGGATAATTTATAGAGGTCAAATAAAAAGGTCAATTAATGTATCACTTTATTATTATTATTTTTAATATTATTATCATTATTATTGTTCTCTTGGGTTACCAGTGGAACATTGGGCTTCAATAACACATCTTAACTTCGTTCTATTTTTTGCCATCCTCTTCAGCTGAGTTCACGATTGCACATAATCTCTCATTTCCTCCTCGCCACACGATCTCCTCCATGTCACCCTCACACTGATAACCCACACTCGTTGCTTCCCATACGGATTCCACTCGACCGATGGATGTCAATTGACAGTCTCCTCAGTGCCTTTTCGATCCATATCCATTTTCTCCAACACATGTGTTGAGCAAGCGGCTCTCGCCTGTTGATTTGTTCTAGCCAGCGAGCAACTTGATCTTCAGTATAGAGCCAGCGAAGGTGGCGCTGTTGACGAAAGTCTGCAACCTATTGAAAATCCTTTTCGTTACACGCAGTGCAAGTTTCTGACCCGTGTAGAAGAAGTGACTGATCGACTTTACAGTTGTGTTGAAAATCCAAATCTTCTTGTTTCTGCTGGATGAGTGCAGCGCAGTAGATTTCCAAACCGATTTCAGGTTGAAGGTGTATCTCGCCTTTCCTATACAGACTGGTTTTGACATATTCATCCGTTCCTATGGCTTGTGGTTGAAACCGTGCTTCCTAGATGAATGAAAGAAGTAACCTGTATCAAATCTGTCCAGCTGGTGGTGATTGGTACTGGTTGTTGTTGTTGCCGTTGGCTGATTATTTTCAACACTTCCATTCGTCTTCTCTATGTTCACCCGCAGTCCTGTCTTCCCTACCTGCCTAATTCTCCAGCCAGTTTTTAGTTTTTCGCTTATAAGTCTTCGAGTTTGTGTGACATTAAATATAAATAATCCACACGTGAAATCCAGATCTACTAGAGTCTTTTTATCGGTCGTCCAGCATATTCCTGATTCCTCGCTCCCCACAGTCTGACGCATAATCCAGTCGACCACAGTTAGGAATATCATCGGTGATAATAGGCAGCCACCGTTGTTTTACTCCTATATCCACTTCGAACGCCTCGTCGAGTTTTCCGTTGTGTATCTCCTGACACGTGACATTGTCATATAATCGTCCTTGAATAAGGTGGATAAAGACTTGGGCACTGTACACCATAGTGTTGAAGTAGTTTCCAAATGGCATGCATGTATTCAGTTAAACAAAATTAATCAAGGTATAGTACTATAAATGTATGTGTATTTATAGCGAAAGTTATATAAAGAATTTATGAAATTCACCGCAATGTATGTATGTTTCTATGATTTAACTAGTCTAATTAATTATAAATTCATATGTTGTATTAATCTCAGTGTTCACGCACATACACACAAACACACTGATAAGTTTTAATTCTGGTGATATATCCAGGAGATATATAAGCAACAATCACTCTGTCTGAATGTGCGTGCGTGTGTGTGTGTACGCGTGTAAACATCCAGTACCAAAATACACCTGATAATAAATTGATTCGTTTCACACAGTACAGACTTTTAATTTTAAAAACGCAATATTCATATATGTTCAAAAGTCAGTTTGCAGGGATTTTTTGATTGGTCTGAAGTCTAACGACGGATCGATATCACAGTTAGAGAAGCAATGAAAACCTATGAAGGGGGGCATACTGACATCTGTTTCGTCCTAAAGCTTGGGACTCTTCGACAGTAACCATCATCCACCATCAGAGTTCGAACCCAGGACCTACCTTCCAGTTATAAGAATAGCTCAGAGAACATTCAGTTCTGTCTGTCTGTCTGTTTTCGACATGGAACTTTGCACATATGTGCGGCAGTTCAAGTCGCTACACCCCACGTAGCACGCAAAGCAAGAGAAGAAAGTAAAAAGAAATGCATATTAGAGACAGTAAACAGAGGTGTGAGACAAAGGAGTAGTAGTAACGGAGAACAATATAGTTTCATTGGAAATTATAAGTCACAAGGAGTGGATGCATCTGCGCCAGCCATTGACAACGACGATTTTGAGCCATATCACCAATTGTTTCCAACCATTGGTTTCTAGCGTCCCGTGGACCCCAACCAGGAAGTCTACATCTTCCTACATGGCTGGCTTAGACTAACTGTTGTAGATTTCATTGACTGGTGCCATGTTTTGGTTTGACCGCCACTAGCTAGCTCTTTTCCAGCCTGACCCTATATCAGCTAACATTGCCCATTGTCGAGGAAGGCGATGACTAGATGACTAGACATGCATACGTAACACATGTCCTAACCATCTTAGTCGATGTATTTTCACAGTTTTGTCGACTGATTTCCCCTCCTTACCTAGTACTCGACCGAAGCCTAACCTCAATACTGCTCAATCTATTATACCACTTCAACTGGAGATAAAGCGCAGGCACCTGTGATCAAAGACAGCTAATCTTTTCATGTCTTCCACTCTCAATGGCTATGTTTCACAGCCATAAAAGAGGACGGAGCGGACTGATGAGCAGTACACACGCCCTTTGGTCGATAGCTAGCCGGATATCACGTCTACGCCAGAGACGGCGTAAACTGGCATATGCGAAACTAGCCCTCTGTATCCGTAGTGAGATTTCGTCAGAGATCAACCCGTTGGCACTCGCTGATGATACTTCCCAAGTAAGTGAAGCAATCAACGTGCTCTACCACTTCACTTCCTATTTCTAATCTAGGAGTCGGTGTAGTCCAATCCTGTAACATCATCTTGCATTTGGCGGGAGCGAATCGCATGACAAATATTCGTAGATTGCAGCTCAGGGTGTTCAGAAGACTCTGCATTTTGTCGACGTCCTCACCTGGAAGGATTATATCGTCTGCATATTCTAAGTCAACGAGATTATTCCCTGGTAGCAAGTCAATCCCCGAATCTCTGAAGTGAGTTAGGGTTAAGTCCATTAATACATCTACGATGAAGTTGAATAGAAATGGGGATAATGGGCATCCTTGACGGACTCATCAGGTTAATTTCCAAGGGTTTGTTTATAGGGCTTCGCTACATACTGAAGATCAGATGGCCAGTAAGATAAAATCAGCATCAAGAAACTCTCGGAACGAACCAATCAAGAAATTACTGCTAAACGAATATGACAAAGAAAATGGAGATGGATTGGATACACGCTGAACAGACCATTGAATGATATCACTAGCCAGGCTCTCGAGTGCAATTCGAACGGAAAACGATGAGTTGGGCGTGTGTCTGAGAGTGCCATGGAGGAGGAGAGAAGAGACTACTGGGAGTAATGGGGCCAGCTAAAGAGGACCTTAGAGAATAAGACGAAGTGGAGATGGTCAGTTGGAGCCCAACGTTCCCCTCAGAACCCAAAAGAACAACAAATAAACAGTAGTTTGTAGGGATTTGATTTTTTTTAAAGTTTGATAACTGATTGATATCAGCTGGAGAACCATTGGAAACCGTCAAGCAGTATTAGACAACTATTTCGTCCTAGTTTGGGACTCATCATCAGTCTACAAATGTTTTTTAGTATTGATGGATACTTTTACCTTAGAAGAATTTCTCAGTTTAACTCCGTTAGATCCGTTAGATGTGGATCATTGGTATGCAAAGAGGTGACATACAACTGGAGTCTTGAATTCAAATCAAGGACAATTCTTTATTCATATTTAGCAAGGGAAGTCAGTCAGTAGGACAGTTCGAGGCATATAAAGTGCTGCTTATATTTTTTCGTGACACTGATTTTGACGTGATATTTCCAATTCTTTTTAAAAGCATTTTGGTAACAGACAGTCGTGACCTACCAAATCTTGTAGTAGAACAGTTACTGGCCTCTGACAATGACTGGAGGTTGCGAAATGTATATCGCAAATTGGCAGAAGATGGAATTCATGGCCTGGCTATTGAGTCAGGTGACAGTGGCTGAATGGTGTAGGAGCTCGTTTGGTAACCGGACGGTTGTAGGTTAGAACCCTGGCGATAGGTGTGTGTTGCTGAAGAGCCCCAAGCTGAGGCCAGGTGGTTCTTTGAGTGATGTTATTATTGTTAGTATTATTGTTCCCTTGGGTTCCTAGTGGAACATAGGGCTTCAACCACACGTCTCCACTTGCTTCTGTCTTATGCTGTACTTTTCATCTGCATCCATGTTAGTCCATACTGTTTCAACTCTTCTTCACACGATCTCCTCCATGTCACCCTTGGACGTCCAACTCTCCGCTTCCTTTTCGGGTTCCACTCGAGCACTGGCCTGACAAGCGATGTCACCCAGCGGCCTCCTTAGCGAGTGTCCAATCAATCTCCACTTTCTTCTGCATATTTGTTGGGCGATTGATTCTTGTTTTGTTTGTTCCCATAGTTTCTTGTTGGTTTTTGTTCTCTCCGGCCATCTGATCTTCAGTATAGAGCGACGGAGACAGTTGTTGATAAAGGTCTGCAACAGGCTGTTGGAAATATTCTTTGTGACCCGCCAAGCTTCTGATCCCTGGTAGAAGAATTGACTTGACGTTTGTATTGAAAATCCGAATTTTGTTGTTGATGCTGAGTGACGAAGATTTTCAGATTGGTTTCAGGTTGATGGTGAATGTGTTTCTGGCCTTCCCGATTCTCGATTTGACATCCTCGTCCGTTCCTCCTGTAGTTGAGACAATGCTCCCTAGATAAGTGAATGAAGTAACCTCTTTCAAATCCCTCCCGCTGATGGTGATTGGCGCTGGATATTGCTGCTTTTGTTGTTGTTGCTGGTTGGTTATTTTCATAACCTCCATCTTGTTTTTGTTCACCTGGAGTCCTGTCTTTGCTGCTTCTTCGACTAGTTTGTCGGTTTTCGCTTGTAAGTCTTCGATTTTGTGTGACATCAAACATAAATCATCCACGCGCGAAAACCAGGTCATCTAGGTTGTTCACGTCGGTCCAGGATATCCCTGTCCTCTCGTTTCCCACTGTCTGACGCATAATCCAGTCGACCACAATTAGGAATATCATTGGTGATAATAAGCACCCTTGTCTGACTCCTGTGTTTACTCCAAACGCCTCGCTGAGTTTTCCGTTTTGGATCACTTGACATGTGGCGTTGTCGTAGAGCTGTTGAATAAGGTTGATGAATATTTTGGGTACGCCGTAGTACTTGAGTAGTTTCCAAATTACTTCGCGGTCGATGCTGTCGATGGCCTTCTCAAAGTCTATAAAGTTGAGGTAGAGATTCGATTGCCATTCCATGCTTTGTTCGATGATTATGAGTGATATTAACTCATGGTCAAACCTATAACCGACATCATTATTCAGTGTCTAAGTAGCAATAGGATGATTTTCCTGCCTTTGCTGGTAAAGCTGACCACTGAATTGTGAGAAATGTCATCTGGCTCCACATACTCAACACCAGTGTGATAACAAAAAACTGAGAATAAAATGGTGAATAATTCGCATTTGGATGATGTTTTATGAGACCACCAGAGTAAAAGTTTGACAATAGTTGGTATTGTAAGAATGAGTGCATCGGTGGTTTAGGGGTAGGATGCCCACCAACCATTGTTCATGGCCCGGGGTTCGATTCTCAACCGATACACTCCTAAACCTCCCGCCAAATGCAAGATGATGTTGCAGTATTGGACTACACTGACTCCTAGATTAGAAATAGGAAGTGAAGTGGTAGAGCACGTTGACCGCTTCACTTACTTGGGAAGTATCACCAGCCCCAACAGGTTGATCTCTGACGAAATCTCAGCACGAATACAGAGGGCTAGGTTCGCATATGTCAGTTTACACAGTCTCTGGCGTAGACGTGATATCCGGCTAGCTATCGACCAAAGGGCGTGTGTACTGCTCATCAGTCCGCTCCGTCCTCCTTTATGGCTGTGAGACCTGGCCATTGAGAGTGGAAGACATGAAAAGGCTGGCTAGCTGTCTTTGATCATAGGTGTCTGCGTTCTATCTCCCATGTGAATTGGCATCATTAGGTGACCAATATTGAGGTTAGGCTTCGGTCGAGTGCTAGGTAAGGCGGGGAAATTACATCGACTGAGATGGTTAGGACATGTGTTACGTATGCATGTCTAGTCATCGCCTTCCTCGACTGACGGGCAATGTTAGCTGACATAGAGTCATGCTGGAAAAGAGCTAGCTAGTGGCGGTCAAATCAAAACATGGCACCAGTCAATGAAATCTACAACAGTTATTCTAAGCCACGTAGGAAGGTGTAGACTTCTGTCTGGTTGGGGTCCTCAGGACGGTAAAAACCAATGGTTGGAAACAATCAGTGACATGGCTCAAAATCGTTTTCAATGGCTAGCGCAGATGCATCCACTCCTTGTGACTCATGATTTCCAATAAAACTGTTTTGTTCTTCGTTATTACTATTCCTTCGTCTCACACCTCTGTTTACTGTCTCCATTTTGCATGTCTTTTTACTTTCTTCTCTTGCTTTGTATGCTACATGTGGGGAGTGTGGCGACTTGAACTGCCGCACATATGTGCAAAGTTCTATGTCGAAAACAGACAGACAGACAGACTAGCTTAGAAGTCGGTAGCAATCTACAGGAAGAGAAGAAAGGTTGGGTGTGAGACGACTAGCAACCCTACCGTGTAACAAAGCAGCAATGTTAATGAGACTTCACAGCTCTCGGAAGGAATGGAGGAAAGAATTAGAAAGGTATAGTCTAAAATGGTTATTATTATTATTATCATCATAATTACTATTAACTTACGAGTTATCACATAGCATGATTTTGCATAGAGAAATGTTTTACTCAATCCAATACGTAACAATGCGCTAATTGTGGCTAAACCCACTAACAGCAGATCAGATTTATTCCAATAGTAATGATTCCAACGTAAATGAAATTGTTCGAATCTTTTATCGTATGATTTAACAATCTAAAAACATAGAGGAGATAGACAAACGTTCGCTTCGAACATGAATTACCAATTAGGCCGAACACAAATTATCCTTCAAAAAAATATTCACTGTAGTGTTTTACAGAAATAAAAAACACAAAAACAATTCAGTATGGTAGCCTAATTTCATTTTTCAGCTTTCTAATCCAAAGATGAATGTCAGGAGTAAAACAAAAAGGCTGCCAAGCAGTTTTGAAGTGTCATGTAGTCTCATCGAGTGCGACCGACCAGCATGACCCAAATCTTTTTTTATCAACCTCATTCTACAGCTATGTGAAAATCTCCCGTGTCAATCGGTCCGCAGCAGAAAACTCAGCGAAGCTTCTGAAGTGAGTGAATACTACAGGAGTAAGACAAGGTTGCCAGCTATCACCGATGATATTCCTGATTCTAGTGGACTGAATCAGCTGGCGGAATGTGGGGAAAGAAAAGACAGGCAGACTGCGGACTGACTACAAGACTCTAGAGCATCAGGACTTCGAGGACAATTTATGTCTGATGTCACACATACTATTACAGATGGAAAGCAACAAGCTAGCAGAAGAGGCCAGCAGAGAAGATAAAACAAGTGAACATAAAGAAGAAAGAGGTGATGAAGGTAACCGACCTACAATAACAAGAATAATCTGCCACTTATATAAACACAGCCATTTCAACTAGAGGTGACAGCACACAGATGAGGATGTCAAAACACACTTGGAAAGGTAAGACAGACGTTTATAACTCTGAAATCAGTGAGGAAATATACAACACTCAGTATAAGGAATGAGATTCGGATTTTCAATGCTAATTTCAACTCAGTGCTTCTTCATGGTTCAGACACACTTGGAGTGTCGAGAATAACGTTTCCAACAGGCTTCAGATATTCACCAATACCTTTATTCTCTCCATATTGAAGACCAGGTGTCCGGCCAGAAAGGATAAACAACAAGGGTGTCTGCAGTGCTTCAATCCAACCAAGAGGCTATCACCCAACAAATATGGAAATAATGATAATAATAATTTGCTTTATTCCAAAACAGTACTTGTGATACAGAATGGAATTCTCAGCATTTTTACTACAGTATTGCATCCAGTTAGTACATTATCAATAAATAGAATTCTACATAGATGAAGGAAATCTCAGTTCATTATGACAACAACATATTGGCATGTCGGTAGCAAAGCCAAAGTTGAACAGTGTTTGAAGGTGTTAGAAAAGTAGGTGCTATCATATTTACTGGAGTAAGCGGAAGAAAGAAACAAAGCAGCACATAACGGAAAAAAAGAAGAGAGAGAAAAGGAAAAGAAAGAAAGAAAATGTTGTACCTATTGATGATGTGAGTTGGAAAGACGAGATCCAGTAGTACTACTGGCTATTTAATGAATTATAGGTGTCACGCCTAATGCTTTCTTTATCGTACAGAACACGAGCTAAGTAGGGTATGGTTGAGTTTTTTTACTTGCTGGTGCGAGCATATAGTTTTCTATATTGGCTTCTCGTTTTACCTGATGAGATGCAAGGGGAGAGTTGTGAGTGAAGACGGTGGTGTGAGTTAGATAAAATGGATTTGGCCCATTTTTCACATGAGTCCATGTGCCTGTCGACCAGAATATTAACAAGCTGGTTAAAAGTGGCACACTGCTTACCCTGATGACAACCTTTAACATTTTTTATATTGCTCAATCTGTTAATAATAATAGTAATAATATATGGAGATGGATTAGACAAACACGAAGAGAAAAGTGGGGATTCGTGACCAGTGGGATACCGATGACATTCACTAGTGGTCACGGAATATCGTAAATTGGCAGAAGTTGGAATTCATGCGCCAGCCATTGGTCTACGAGCTAGCTCGCTTTGTAATCATAAGGTCCTGGCTTCGAACCTCAGTAAGTGCGCACTGATGAAGAGTCCCAAGCACTAGGACGAAACAGCTGGCCAATACTTCCAAGTTTTCCAATAAGCCTCTAACCGATGTCAGTTCATGATGGAGTCCAGAAACACTGGAGAGACTGTTGAGTAAAATCACGTACCACTCTCTCAAGTGGAACTCGAATGGAAAGCGATGAGATGGGCATTTCAGTATGAAACAGAAGAGATCGTAGGAGGAGGAGGAAATGAAAGGCTATGGACAGCCGGCTAGAGAGAACTTCAGAGAATAGGTTGAAGCCATATATGCCTCTCGGAACCCAAGAGAATGATGATGATGATGACATTGGCTGAGATAAGCACACAATTCTACGAACTACTTCTACTGTGTTGTAAGCCACATTGCGTAATGGATGAATTTTATACTAAGTTAACTGGGAGAGACTTTTAATTTTCCTATTTATAAACCAAACTTATTTTGTTTCGGGTGGTGATACCATGCAGTTCAAAGTAGCTGCTCATGTTTTTACACCTAAGACTAATTTCTGGAAAACCAAGTGTTTGGGCCAACTGGTCACATACATTACCACACTTATTATTAAAAGCTACACAATACACTAAAAGAATGTTATCACTTTGAAAATATAGGTTTCAGAACTTTAGAGTGGTACTCAATAACACCAACTAACATTTGAGTCTTATAAAAGAGAAGACGTTTACCGAAGTGCTACTCTTTTCAGCAACGTCTTATCCTGGAGAACTTGATCGAATCTAGACACGAAACAATCCCACAAACCAATTTCAAAAGCATCTAGAGAGTAGGCGGGGATTTGATTGGACACTTGTAACCAATGCGAGCTGTCTAGTCCTTCCTTTGGTAACGTCTCTGACTGCAGCATTGGGTGACGCGGGTTCGAATCTAAGAAAGGACTTGAGTTCCTTTAACGTTGTAGATACGCCTTGTTGACCAGCGCCAACTAGCTCGAAACCTAGGTTCAAGGCTTCCTGCCAGTTGCCTCCGACCATCTAATATCATCGATACGGATCAACCTTCTTTGAACCACAGAAGCAATGACAATTCACATGTTAGATCCCGAATTCTGTATACAAGAGAAGTTTATTCAGTCATTAAATCTACGATGGACTTGATGATAGAATATGTTGACCACTTCACCTATTTGGGAAGTCGTATTAGCACCAACGGACTGATTGGCGACGAAATCTCAGCACGGATCCAAAAAGCTCGGGCTGCTTTCGCTAACTTACACTGTCTCTGGCGTAGGCGTGACATCCGGCTATCAACTAAGGGACGTGTGTACTGCTCATCAGTTCGCTCCGTCCTTCTCTATGGCTCTGAAACATGGCCAATACGAGTTGAAGACATGAAAAGGTTGACTGTTTTCGATCATAGATGTCTACGATCTCTTACTCACGTTAGGTGGTATAATAAGGTAAGTAATGTTGACGTTAGGCGTAGAGTGTTGGGCAAAGAGGGAAAATCAATCGAAGAGGCTATAAAGTTACATAGATTCAGATGGCTAGGTCACGTGATGCGCATGCCTAACCATCGCCTCCCATCCCCGCGACGGGCATTACTAGCTGATATAGGTGCAGGTTGGAAAAGAGTAAGTGGTGGCCAAACAAAAACATGGCCTCATCAATCCATGAAATCCTTGACAGTTAAACTGAGTCATGTAGGGAGGGAGATGCAGACTTCCGGGTTGGGGCCCGCCCTCGGGACTCTAAGAATCAATGGCTGGAGACGATAGGTGACATGGCTCAAAATCGTTGTCAATGGCTTACGCAGATGTATTCAGTCTCTGTAATCTTTCACATTCCTTTCTACCATTACTCATTCTGTTTCACTCTTATACTTGTCAAAACTCTATTGATTCTCTTCACTCATCCATCTTCTTGTCTACCTTTGTGTGGTATTTGTAACGTGGCAACTCGAACTGCTGTACTTCGGTGCCAAGTTCTATGTTGAATCCAGACAGACGATGGACTTGTTCTGTTTTAAAATCACATCTGTAATTTTTGGTTTTTGTCTTTTATAATTGTATTACTTTCTTCCTTCACCCCTTATTACCACTGCTGTTAGCTTAACTATCGTTCATTTTTAGTTGAATTTTACTTATTCCCTTTAATTATATTACGTAGCTCAACTTGCCCATTAAATTTAATTTTAGTTTCTAACCGATTAACATTTTTTTATATTGCTCAATCTGTTATCTACAAAAATTAACAATTTCAGTGACACATGTTTGGGGATATTGCCTTTATTGCTCAGGTAATTTACTATTTCAAGTGTTGCTTTTTGGGGATTTGATGGTTACAAGATTTTCATCATGAGCCGACATTAGTTAGGTTACCATTGGAAAACCTGGAAGTACTGGAT